GAACACAAATGGTGATTTTTGGATTTCTCATAACCCAACTAAAACAATCAAAGTTCACGAGTCCCGAACGATCCTATAAAGTTTAGCTAGAGACATCATTGTTGATGCGAGCGACGTAACCGAGTTTCACATTAACTTGTGGATAGGTTCAGTTATTCAGAATTACATTATAATTTATTCATAATTTTTATATAATGTTATTAGTGCACGTCTATTTTTTTAAGGATATGAACGTGTATTTATTTGTTTAAATAATAAAATAAAAATTAATTCGAGAGGAAATATAATATAATGGTTTGCATTGCTTTATTATTATTCATCAATAAGTTGAGTATTTATACAAAATCTACTCTCATAAGATAGGAAATAATCTTTCTAAAAGATATACCATATATCCTATCGATGTATTCACTAAATATTTTCTTAACATAAATAAACCTAAACATATAATTCTGATAATAAGATATATACGGAAAATATATCACACATATATTTTTCGATATCTCATATCTCTAAGAACATCACTTGGAAGCTTATATCCAACTATAAGATATATACGGAAAATATATCACACATATATTTTTCAATATCTCATGTCTCTAAAAACATCACTTGGAAGCTTATATTTTACTATCTACCTACATCATCCTCCAATACTGCGATCCTATTATACATTGTACTAATCTATTTTTCGTGTAGTGGATTTATTTTGAGTAGGCCTGTACAAAACTATCTGAGAATCCGAAAATCCGATAATCCGATCCGCAACTGATCCGAATTTTTGGATATCCGATCCGAGTTTTCATTTCGGATCGGATATCCGATCCGAAAAGGCGGATATCGGATGCGGAATTGGATATTAATTTTCAGAATTTCGGATATCCGATATCCGAAAGATATCCGAAATATAAAGCCTAAAATCATATAATTTTTAAATTGTTCATATAAAACTAACCCTGTATTATTAACTTATTGTAATATTCTTAATATATTTGATGATAATATTAGTTGCAAAAGGACTACTATTTTTGTTAAAATATTTTGTACAACTTAGCGATAAAAAAAACGATAAAATTAGTGAAATTTAGAAAGTAATCATAACAATTTTACTTAATATTGGATAATGGATATCCGAAACATCCGATCCGAAAATTTTGGATATCCGAATATCGGATATCCGAATTTTTCAAATCGGATTTGGATATCAATTTTTGATATCCGAATCTTCGGATATCCGATCCGTGAATAGGCCTAATTTTGAGTGCTCATTGTTTGTTGTTTTTTTTTTTTTTGGAAAATTTTCCCCGTTAAATATTGTGTGTGCATTTCTTTTTAACTACTTCCTCCGTTTTCTAGATACATCACTTTCTACATTTGAAACTTTTTTAGATGAATCAGTTTACTATTTTGTTAATAAATTCTCTCCATTTCTCATACCACATGAGTCTTGGCCACTTTTTTCTTTCTACTCTCTATCTCTTCATCTCCCAAAATTACTTATGAGTCCGTAAATTTAAAAGTTTTGCATCTAATAAAAAATATGGAGGAAGTATTAATCATGCATGCCTTTATTTATATTTTGTTTTTCATACTTTTCAATCTCTACGTGTTTAGTATATTTTTATTGTGCACTCACCAAGTCACCAACCCTAACATGTTATGTGTTGGAGATTTGGAGTTACTGATTCCACGACTTTCAATTCCAAGTTGTTTGTTTCAAAATAAGATTAATTTCTTTTTCTCCGAGTCGTGATTAAGCTTATACTCCGTAATCAATGTAATAAATTGTGTCATGAATAAATCAATATTGATTGATTGTTAAAACCAAAATCAATTCTCAATTTAAGAATGGTTGATTGCCCCTTTGTTCAATGATGTTCTCAATTTTTTCTCTATTCCACACAAGAGAGGAGTATTCTTGTATCCATGACGGTTAATTGCCAATAATCAACAATGGAATAACATCACAAATTCAATAAAATTTATCAGGAAATGATACTGTGTGTCTATGTCACACCATGACATTAATCTACATAAACTTATTTTAATTTATTTGACACTTATCGTAACATACACTATAATAACGCTAAAAATGAAGCATTCATATTATATAATATACTTTGCTCTATTTGATTCATCAAATTTTTCTGAAAATATTTTATCTTGTTTTGTTTAAAAAAATGGTAAAAAAAATCTCAACTTTTGTCTGTTCGCTCAAAATAATCCATAAAATAATCCTGACTATAGATTAATTTTTAAAAAATCTGAACTTTGGGGTCATTTGCTTTTATTAATGGTCCCAATCGGTCACCCAACCTGTAATAATAGATTATTAGAAATTTAAAATAAACTAATAAAAGAAAAACTAATAAAAATTAAAAGAAACCCTGCCCCCACGACCCACGACCACCCTCCTTACCACCACCCACTGACCTGCTTCCAGAACCCCGAACCACCGTCGCGCCCGGACCTTCCTTTGTATCGGCGGTCCCCTCACTCACACCCTAAATCACCTAACCCCAACCCAAAACCCCCAATATCTACACCCCGAAACTCTAAAAAAAAAAAATCCCCACTACACAAACGCCTCAATCGACACTCGTTTTTTTAGGGGTTTCGCAAGTGATCTACAATTGGTGCTTCCCAAATTTACACTACAAGAAAAATTATATATAGAGGCAAAACTTTGAGGCAAATAATTTTTGGTAGCCTCTAAAGATATATTTAGTATCAGTTAAACTATGGTTGCCCCTAAAAGTCATTTTTAGCATTAGTGGATTAGAGAATGCCCCTAAATGTTCTTTTTAGCATTAATGAAATTAGTATTGCCTCTAAAAGTTAGCTTTAGCGTTATCAAGTTTTAAGTTGCCTCTAAAATTCCTATTTAGCGTTGTTGAAATTATGATTGCCTCTAAATGTTCATTTTCAGCATTATGAAAATATTATTGCCTCTAAATGCCTTTTTTTAGCGTGAATGAATTTTGCGTAACTTCTAAATATTATTTTTAGCATTAGTGGAATTAAGGTTGCCTCTAAACATCCTCTTTAGAATTTGTGAAATCATAGTTGCCTCTAAAAATTATTTTTAGTACTGGCGAAATTTACATTACCCTTAAGCATTAGTAGATTATAAGTTATTGCTAAAAATTTTAATTTAACAATATTGAAATTTAACAAAGGTACATGTTTATCTTCTGAAAGAAATGGTATTATTCAATATGATATCATATCTGCAACAAAATTAACCAAATCAATACATATACTCCATTGCACAAACTAACCGACAAAACTTACTAACAAAAAAAAAAAATCTATTTTCAATTCATGTATCATTTCATAAATCATCAAAATAAAAAATAAAAAACCCAATCATGAAATAAAACTATACAAATTTAAAATAACACAACTCCTAAGTTCTATACCAATATCTCTTAGAATGAACCGAAACAAATGGATCAAAAAGCAAAAGCAATTGGAATATACAAAACATCATTATTTACTATCTCTAAGCCCCAAATTAATATATATATATATATATATATATATATATATATATATATATATATATATATATATATATATAATAAAATACTATAAAGAGCGGTACAAGTACTTACATCATATTGAAAAAGGTATGGAGTATGTGAATTTTTTCTAAGAATGGAACGAAATTAAATCAAGTATAGAGGAAAATCAAGCCAAATTGAATAAAATAACTACACAATTAATTTTGTTCAACATGGTTATCTAGAATTAGCTTATGAAACAGAAAATTGCAAAATAAAATAAAGTAAAAAAAAAATCTTCAATGAGTGTTTTTGCCATTAAAAGTAATAAGTAAATCATCTACTCCGTATATATTACCTGTGCATGTTTTGCAGATTACATTTCTTATTCTTTGTTGTGTTAGAACTAATGACAACCAAAGCATTTCCAATTTCATCAAAATTTTAAGAAAATTGATTAGAATATTTCTTGGTGTATCAAAGAAATTTGCAAATTGGGTTGAGCAATGACAATTGTGAATCATGGGATTATGCAATATCAATCCCAAGGTTTATTAAAGAGATTAACCCTAAATATTTTTAGTGTTTTGGCGGCATTTGAAAGTGGAATTAGCGCCTAATTAAAGAATTGAAAGAACTTTGTTTTTTTTCTTTTTTCCTTTGTATTTTTTAGGAGTGTAAAAATATTGATTTCTATGAATATTTTACACTACAATCATACGAGTACAATTATAAATAAAAAAAACTTTTATTATGTGTATCTTTGGGACTTTGGGTTAGTATTTCCAAAAAAAAAAAAAAAAAAAAAAAACCTTGAGTAGTACATTGAGACTGTCATATATTACACTGTTTACATAATTACATACTTAAATTCACTAGAATTTTGATTAGTACATATGAGACATATGTTATGTAAAATCCTTTTGTATTAGTCTTTCATATATCTACTCCCTCCGTATTTTATTACTTGCTCTATTTTTTTTCTTGAGCACGGAGTAATAGGATGAATAGTATAAATAATTATATTATGATAATAATGGAGTTGGTTGAAAATAAAAAAAAATGCGAATGAAGTAACTAATGATACAAATACTTCTTAGCACAAATGTCATTCAAATTGTTCCAATTACAATGAAATAGAAAAGTATATTATGTTACGATTTTACAACATAAACTCTAGTAGTAAGTACTTTATTGAAAAAAAAATTAAATAATAAAATATCAACATTTAAAATTATTACAAATGAAGATAATATGTAAAATCAATACGAAAAAAAAAATTTAGAGTTAGCCCATTATACTTATTTCAAGTAATTATAAGGGCCTGTTCAAATTTACTTAATTTCAGTTCAGTTTAACTCCAATCAGTTCAGTTCAGTTGAGTTCAGCTCCAATCAGTTCAGTTCAGTTCAGTTCAGCTGCTAATTTCCTTCTCTCATAAAATATTTATTTCAGCTCAGTTCAGCTCCAATCAGTTCAGTTCAGTTCATCTCTAACCGGTTCAGATAAGTTCAGTTCAGTTCAGTAAATGTGAACATGCCCTAAGTCATGGTATATTTAGGTAGGGTAAAGTTTACATTAGTTTTCCGAATACTACGAATGTAATGTTATAATCTAATACCTATATTTTATATTTTGTGCACAAATTATACACATTGGCTATTTTCACTTTACATTATACTATTTAAGTTGATAGCAACTTATTTTATAAATAATAAGGGTGTATTCTATTCACCTGGTTTTCACTGATCTTAACTTATCTGAACTTATTAGACCTAGCTTATTAAAACTAATTTTAATTGTAATTTGTACTTGAGGTAAACCTTAAACCTGAACAGAACTTATCTGAACTTATTACACCTGAAATAAGTGAAAATAAGGTGAACTGAACAAACCCTAACTTTTGTATGTAACTTGTCATACTATATGACCATCCACCCTGAATTACTCGGTTAGTGTAATAGGGGGTAATTTGTTATGGTTATAAGGGTTACTTAATTAATAGTAAGGTAGGAGTTAGTTTGTCATTGTGGTAAGAGTTATTTAATAAGTAAAATAAGTGGTTACTCCATTAGTGTGACAATGGTCACTTAATAAGTGTATATAATAAGGGGTTACTCGATCAATATAAATAGAAAAAATCACTTATCATGATTATCTTCATGATAATTTTGGCAGAATTTCGTTTCAAAATCGGGAAATTTGCGAAACTAAACTAGCCCCAAAAAATTGAGAGGGAATTACTTTGATTTCATCTGTTATTCCCTCCCCGATTTTGTGAAATACTCCGTATGTGGTGATTTATCCCTTGTCTATCTTTCTTTATCAAATTTTCCTCCCGTAATTTTACCCTAAGCAATTTCAAAAAACAATCTTACTGAACTCTGGACGAGCGAAGGGAGACGAATTAAAATAGCGTTTGGAGTTTGTGGCCGATCGAACTTGATTGGTCAGAGTACATATCACTATCCAAGGTAATTAAAATTTTCAATAATCAATAGAAGTGTTTGGGTCCAATTTAGTCAGAATTGGGCCTAAGCACTAAATGATCCAATTAAAAGCCCAAGGTCAAGGTTCAACTCTCCAATTGCACAAAAGTCAAAGGTCAGCCCACAAAGCATGCCAATTGGGCTAAGGCCCAACCTCACCATGTATGATGAGGTATAAAAGCCATCATATTGACACATTGATGGGGGGACGTTCAGATTCATATGCTCATTCTTGCATTCAGAAATATTCCACAAAAGCCTCAAGCTACAAACTCTCTTGCATAGTGTCTTCCTTTTACACATTGTACTGACTTTAGCATCGGAGGGGCCTTCCTCGGAAACACCCCCGAGGCTAGTTTACGTGTGTTCACTGTGCAGGAAACCTTCGGCCCAACACAACTTGGATCGAATCCAGTCTTCTCCATTTCAGCGGACCTTCGGCAAGGTCCCATTGTTTTCAACCGAAACAATTTGGCGCCGTCTGTGGGGAAGACTTTCAAAAATCTTTAAGCCAAATTCCTAACCAAGATCATCTTGCAATTATCTTAGCAGCCATGGCTAAGAACCGCAAGAGCAAAAGCCTCCGTCAAGGAGCGGGCGAAAAGCCTAAAACCCCTACACCATCGCCCTCGCCGGACCGGAACTCTCCCAAGGGTGCCGGCTCGGGGGGAGGATCATACAAGGAGGATTCCCTATCTCCTATAATGCATGACTCTCAATATAGGCCGGACCACTCTCGGTCTAGCAGGGGTCAGTCTGATCATAGGACATATTCAGTGTCCCAAAGCCAACCATCGGCTGCACGGCCTCATTCCCACACTCGGCCGGGGACCCCTTTGACGGGGCCCAGTTCGGAAGAGGTGGCAAGAGCGCTGGCAGTACTCATGGAGGCAATGAGGGCACAGAATATGCCACCGCCTCGTGATCGAACTCCTCCGCATACCCGGCATCAGCGGAGGAAGTTAGACCATGACGGTGGGAAGCTTCCTTCCTTCCGGGAACTGGAAGAGTGGGAGGAGGATTCTTGGAAAAATGAAAAACAGAGGAAAAAGAACTCTCAATTATTTAAAGGATCCTCATCCTCAAGACCAGCAGCGCATAAGAGCAGCAGCTCAGCTTCTCGGCCAGAATCTACTCGCCGGGAACCTGAGACTGTTCGCAGAAGCGTCCTTGACCGACTCGGCGGCCAGGAACCGAGCGTGCGTAGTCGCCTCTCGTTCCCTGCAGCCGAGGCCCAGACTTCCCAGCCAGGGACGAAAACCACTCCTACCTCTCTAAGAGGGCGGAGCGCGGTCCCTTCGGCCAGGAACAAGGGCAAGGCCATTATGCTACCCGCTAGTTCACCATTCGAGCAATGGATACTGGAAGAGCGCGTACCCACGGTTAAAATACCGTCGCATATCACATATGACGGGACCACGGATCCGAAGGACCACGTGGCCTCGTATGAGACTCATATGCATCTTTGCCCCAGATCCGAGGCGACTTGGTGCAAATATTTCCCAACCACTCTCAAGGGGGTCGCGCAAGCGTGGATCTCCAAGGGAGTAAGGCAAGGCTCCATAACAGGTTGGGATGATCTGTCCTCCAAGTTCAGGAGCAAGTTTTCCACGGCAAACCGCCGAGAGAAGACTACCGCAGAGCTCATGAGTCTGCAACAGGGGGAAACCGAAAGCCTCCGAGACTACCTGACCCGTTTCAGTAACGAGTCATCAAGCGTCTCCCAGCTGGACCAGGGGCTAGCTGTTTTTGCAATGCAGAATGGCCTTCAGCCAGGAAAATTCCTAGACTTCATGGTCATGCATACCCCGCAGACCTTGGAGGAAGCTCTTAGTGCTTCGGATAAGTTCATCCGAGCCGAAGAATGGAATAAAGCAAAAACCCAACCTCAATCCGGAGGAGGGAAACAGAGGCAAATACCCTTGTCTGAAGGCCAAGGCCATAAGGCAAAGGGAAAATCAAAGGCTCCGGAGCCATCTTTGGCCAACGACCTAAAGAAGGACAGGTTTGCCTCATACACAGGCAGATATGAGTCCTACACTCCGCTCTCTCTTCCACGCGCCAAAATTTACAGTGTGACGAAGGAGGAGCAGAGTTACCGAAAGCCGAGACCACTCCCAGAGTGGTATCAGCGAAAAAATAAAAATCAGTGGTGTGAGTTCCACGAGTCTTCGGGCCACAACACTGAGGAGTGTATCCAGCTGAAGGACCAGATAGAGGACATGGTCCGGAAGGGATACTTGAAAAAATACATCGCGGATCACCGCGAGAAAAAAGAATCCGAGAGGCTAGCAAAGGACCCTCGGCAGGACCTTGATTTCCCCCGGAAAAACAGTAAAAAACCGGAGGGGAAATTCCCTCCGATCAATGTTATCTCGGGAGGAATATACTCTCGGAGGGAGCACAAGCGTCACCTTAGAGCTTTGACTCACCAGGTGAACAACGCTGACATTCAATCTCCCCAGTCGCCGGTGCCGAACATGACGTTCACAGCCGCCGACTGCCGGGGGATTACGTTCCCTCACGAGGATCCGTTGGTGATCATCGCCACGGTGGGCAACCACGACGTCAGTAAGGTCCTTGTTGACGGTGGCAGCGGAGCAAACATTCTGTTCCGAAAGGCCTACAACCAAATTAAGCTGAAGCCCAAGCACCTTACGCCGGTACCCTATCCGGTATCCGGGTTCAATGGGGCTTCAACTTATCCAGATGGGAAGGTGACACTTCCTGTCACCATCGGTTGCGATGAGGCAGCCCGGAACGTCATGATTGAGTTTTTGGTCATCGACGCTCCTTCAGTGTACAACGTGATTTTGGGGAGACCCATAATTCACGAGATCCAAGGGGTCGTCTCAACTTATCATCAGCTGATGATTTACGTCTCAGACGCCGGCTTCCCCGAAAGGATACAGGGCAACCAAAAGGACGCCCGAAGGTGCAACTACCTCAACCCATCCAATAGTCGCCCAGATGACGACAAGGATGAGGAGGAGAAAGAAAAAGAAAGAGAGCCAAGCGCAAAAAAGCCGAAAGGCCTAAGTGCTTCGGCCCAAGGATCCGTGCCCAGAGAAAAAGGTCCCGAAAGGGAAAAGGTTGACTCTTCAGCTGAGCCGCAAGACTCAGAGAGCCAGCCGAAGAACACAAAGACTGGGACACCTGCTGACATTGGCAGCAGACCAGATTCTGAAGAGTCCAGTCCATCGGCAATGGACATGGACCAACAGACTGAAACAGTTGAGTTGGCCGAAGGAGATGCTGAGAAATGTGTAACAATCGGGATGGACCTTGATCCTAACACCCGTTGTGAACTTATTCAGCTCCTTCGGGATAACAGAGATGTGTTTGCTTTCTCGGCAGCTGATATGCCCGGGATAAGTTCAGACCTCATCTCCCATAAGCTTAATGTTGACCCAGCGTGTCGACCAGTTAAGCAAAAGAAGCGGAATTACTCCGCCAATAAGAACCGAGACATCGCAGCCGAAGTCAAAAAATTATTGGAGGCAGGGTTCATTGAACCTTGCCAATATCCGGAATGGCTGGCAAATGTGGTGATGGTTCAGAAGCCCAATGGTACCTGGAGGATGTGCGTTGACTTCACGGACCTAAATAAGGCTTGTCCAAAGGATTTCTATCCCTTGCCAAGAATCGATCAGCTAGTCGATTCGACAAGTGGCCATGCCTTGCTTAGTTTCATGGACGCATTCTCGGGGTATCATCAGATCTTTATGCACCCCGACGATCGAGCCAAGACAGCATTCGTCACGAACGCTGGGGTGTATAATTACAAAATGATGCCCTTCGGATTGAAAAATGCGGGGGCAACCTATCAAAGGCTGGTGGATCAAGTTTTCGCCGATCAAAAGGGCCGAAACATGGAAGTCTATGTTGACGATTCGATCGTCAAAAGCAGAAAACTAGAGGACCATGTAAAGGACCTGGCTGAAACTTTCGCCACCTTGAGAAAGCATCAAATGAAGCTGAATCCGAAGAAGTGTGTCTTCGGCGTGAAGTCAGGGAAATTCCTGGGTTTCATGGTCAGCAAAAGGGGGATTGATGCCAATCCCTCTAAAGTCAAAGCGGCGCTCGACCTTCCTGAGCCGAAAACGAAGCGGGATGTTCAGCGGCTCACCGGAAGAATGGCAGCCCTCTCGAGGTTCATTTCCAGAGCTTCGGATAAGGGGTTACCCTTCTTCAAAGCCCTGAAACTCCCGAAAACAAAAGAGCTTGTTTGGGAGGAAGAGCAAAAAGACGCCTTTCAACAGCTTCGGGAGCATCTGGCTCAACTCCCAACGCTGGCTAGCCCAGTTGAAGGAGAAACTCTATACCTATATGTGGCCGTTAGCCCGGCCACCATCAGCGCAGTATTGCTGAGGGAAGAGAGTAAGAGTCAGCAACCGATTTATTTCGTCAGTCATACACTGACGGATGCCGAGACCCGCTATCCTCTACTCGAGAAAGTTGCTTTCGCGGTAGTAGTAGCTGCTCGGAAGCTGAGGCCCTATTTTGATTGCCATCAGATAGTGGTCTTAACTGATCAGCCATTGGAAAAAGTTCTTGGCAAGGTTGAAAAATCCGGTAGGCTAGCCAAGTGGGCTTTTGAGCTCACCGAATTCAGCATCAGCTACCGTCCGAGGGCTGCCATTAAGGCTCAAGCCCTGGCGGATTTCTTGGCCGAATGCTCATACCAAGAAGTGCTGGACAGTGAAAAGAAAGTCTGGACCGTGTTTACGGATGGGTCTTCCACCGAAAACGGTTCGGGGGCAGGAGTAGTGATAACTTCTCCCGAAGGCAAATCCTTTGAGTATGCACTAAAATTTTCTTTTAAGGCCTCGAACAATGAAGCCGAATATGAGGCAGCAATCGCCGGCCTACAATTATGCATCTCCTTGGAAGCCGATCATGTCTGCTTAAAAACAGACTCTCAGCTAGTTGCATATCAGATCAGTGGCAGCTATGAGGCCAAAGAGCCCTCCATGATAGCTTAT